AAAGCGCATTTTGTGTTGCAGGTGCGCGTTTCAGGCGGAGTGCCAGCGTCGAGTTATGAAAGCTCGCGGCCTGCTGAGTGACGATGCTTCGGCTTCGCGTGGCGTCTGGTCAGAGCACGAAACTTTTGAGCGGTACGAACGGGCACTGACAGCCGTTGCTGAGATCGCAGAGAAGCGAACGACGAAAGAAACAAATGAGGCTCGAAAACGGACGTGGTCCGAATACGTTTCGTTTCTGCATCACAATCCGTTTGGCGTGAGCGAGATGACGGCGACATCTTCTGATGTGGCCGCTTTTCTTCACTCCGAATATCTGCCGAATCATTCTGGGGAGAGCCGAACGGTGGTTCCTGGAACGGGCCAGCGAGTACTGTCTGCGAGCGCCGTTAGGACGGCTGTGTCGCACCTAGCGCAGACGTACCGGTTGCTTGGTGCTAGTGAAGCGGTTAACCCGGCAGCCTCTGAGCTGGTGCGCTCTTACCGGGATGGTTACGCTAACCACTTATACGAGCAGGGGGTACGCGAAAGACGAGCGAAGGTTTTCAGCGCTACGAAACTGGACGCTCTCCTGGCCGACATGGGAATTCGGATCGCGACCGCCACAGGTTTCGAGCGGTGCAATCTGATAATGGACAGAGCTGCGTTTCTGTACATGTGGGAGTCGTGCGCGCGAGGCGCAGAGTGCGGGGCTCTACTCAGCTCGCAAGTCGAGCGCGAGGAAGGTGTAGCCTTACCGGGGCGGAATAAAACGGTTCGACAGGAGCCTTCGGCACGTATTCCTTTGCAACGGGAGGCAAGCGCAGGGCGCATGACTTTTCTAGAGGCTAGTGCGCAACTCATTGCTTGCTTGACAGAGCTAGGAGTCGGGGTTCAAGAGGAAGATGCCCTCTTCCGTAGCATGAACCGAAGCCGCAGTGGATACAGTCCTGGCCCCATGCAAGCCGGAGCTCTACTAAAGCGTTTTCAGAAGCACTTAAAAGAATGCAGGGTTGTTCGAAGGGGAAACTTTACATAGCTTCAGGCGTTCTTCGATCCAGCACGCCGCTTTGAATCATAGTTGTACTATCCGAAAGTTGATGGGTATGACTCGGCACGAGTCGGTGAGTTCTTTTAAACGGTACGTGTCAGAAATCTGGGGATCCGTAGTTGCTAAGGACCAGGCTGTAACAATTGCCCGCCAGAGGTTTTAGTGAACCAGTCGGATGCAGCTTTTCGAGCCATGATTAGTAGGATTGTAATCGCTACTTCATGATTGTGAGTACTTGAATCACTTGTATCCGACTGACCTGCATGATGATAACTTTGAAGATGCTATTGCGTTCGAGCATGTATATTGTGTTATGTATGTAAATTCAAAGCGCATCTGCCGCAACTCTTAGCAGAGCAACGCGCGGCACGAGAAACAATTGCCGCTTGTTGCATTGATGTCAGACTTCGCTTGAGCATTGATCTAGTAGCTACCACTGTATCTTGATGGCTACCAAATTGAGGAACGCCGGATTGGTTGTGCCGGCGGGGACTCTCAAACTAGGACTGCAGGACGTATCTTTCTTTGCAACTGGCCACATCGGAGCTCGACTCTTGAGCTTCCACTGGTGAATCTTCACCCACCAGTTCGAAGCCTCCTTCTTGGGCACGACGAGGATGGAATTCACCTTGAAACGCTCTAACAGGCAGACCGCGTCGTTAATCAAACGAACCGGCGGAAAGGCCCAAGCGAACTCTCCGTCTGGCACCAGCGCCTTTCAGTCTTGCAACAGGGCATTCGCTGCTAGGCAGCCTGGAGAGTATCTGAGCGAGACGAAGTTGGCTACCGTGTGCCACGTGTCGGAAGCAAACAGGTCCACGGAGATCTGAACTTGGAAGAACCGCAGGATCTTTGACAGCTCGGCTTGACTGATCCCCCAGTCGGAGGCGTCGGGCTGCCTGCTGAGAAGATCTTCTGCTTCCAACTCCTCTCGTGGTTTCCAAGCCGCTCTGATGTCGATCTTCTGGTCGCAGCAAAGCGCAAAGAATTTTTGCAGGACCGCGTTCACATCAGGGCTTGAGCTCTTGAGCTTGTTGAGCGCATGCGAGGCCCCCAGGTTGTCGGTCGTGATCAGGCAAGTGGAGAACCTCAGGCGATCGGACGATTCTTGGACGGCTGTCTGGAGCGTCGCAAGAATACCCAGAAGCTCCCTTGCAGTGCTCGAGAGCTGAGCTTCTTCAGCAGTAAACGTGCCTGCTACTTCGAGCAGTTCTTTGCCTGGCATCCTTACAAAGCCTCCGAACCCTACATCTGAGGCGTCTGACGAGGAACTGAGGCCTACTGGGTACGAGTACCATCTACGGCCGTTCCACTCGCGAAGTTTCATCAAGAACAGCCGCGCCGTCTCCTTGACTGCGTCGGGGCTTTCGAAGGCCACATCCCACGATTCCTTGCCCTTCATGGCTGCGAACAAGGGCCTGACGAAAAGCAAGGCCGGCAGGACAGCGGGGGCTACGGAAACGAGTTTCCCTGCCATCTCGGCTAGATCTCTCGCCGAGATAACGTCAGACTGAATAACGCTCAGCAAGGCTGCTTCGATCTTGGCGAGCTTCTTCTCCGAGATGGAGAAAGTTTCGCCAACCGAATCGACCACGAACCCCAGCCACGCAGCTATCTGGAGAGGCTCTAACTGGCACTTGGGCAGGCTGAAGTGAGCTCCTAAGTGCGAGAAGAGGCGAAGGATTCGCACCAAGATCCATCTGCATTTCGCCTTCTCCTCGTCGGCAGAGAAGCCGTCGTCGATGTAACCTGAGACTGGAACGGATTGCTCTCTGAGGACGAGTAGAGGCTCTTGCAGGATGAGCGTGAAGAA